TTTACTATCGCAAACAATCGATAAAAATCACGGCAAATTAAACGATTCCGTACGTAGCATAGAGAGGGGCATGTACTCCCGAACATCCTTTCCCTTCAGCGAAAATTGCACGCAGCACACGGGCCTCCTTCACCCCCAATATTCTGGACCACAAACACCGCACTCATGACCGCGTCAGGCACAGAGGCAGAACGGTAGCATCGGCTCCAGGGTGCGCTATCTCTGTTCGCCATCGCGTAAGCGGGACCCCGGGTTAATCACATGTTTTCCGTTTGGATCATTTGCAGCAGGCAGCCATAGATTGGGTGTGGAAAGAAATGGCATATCTACCTCACATCAGAGACAATACTGCTGTACAAATGGTAGTGCTGCGTGTACCCGGCGCACATTGGTCATGTGCGTGCTTGTGTTGTGGGCTGCCTCTTGGTCTCTTTGCTGGCCTTTACGGCGCATTTCTTTTCTCTTTGGCGAGGCGTGCCAGCGATCTTTCGGCGCACAACGTTATCTTACTGCTATCGTGCATGTAGTTACATAGCTAAAAAGGACTTCCCGACCAAGATGTCAGAGCGCATGACCAGGGCACACGAGACACACACGGGCACATTGAAGCGAGTCTACACCCCGGCATCGAAATTCAACAAGTTTTTTTGATGACATGGCCGCTTTCTTGTCCAATGGGCAAGTCAAGCGACACGTTCCGTCAAACGTAAGATCGAGTGTGAAACATTAGCTGCTCGTTGTTCCTTCGCTGGCGCGAGGGGAGCCGCGTCTAATGCGCGGGACAATAACTTTAGGGGGGGCTGGCCGCAACGATACCGTTGCCAGATTTTATCTGGACAAAACGACGGATAGATGTGATTGCGGCAGGACGTCGGACTCCACGGGTCTCGCACACTTGCTAAAGTTTTGCTAAACTGCCCATGCGCGGCCAATTGTGCCATTCAACCGGAACCAGTGTACTTCTAAACAAGGCTATCTGGTTTGGAACGGGCATAGACTAATAGCGGCGAACAACCCTAACGCTAACCTTAACTCCAAGCCCACACGACGCGTGCTAGGTGGCGCCGGTGGCTAACTTATAGGTTGAAATGCCGGTGGCTACTGACTGTAGGTTGAATTACCCATGGGCGGCCCATGGGCGCCCCGAAGGTGTCCCCTATGGGCGGTTTACCAAAACTGCTAGTAGTGACGGAGATTGGACTCCACAAGGCTCATGAAGTGCAACGATGCTGTGAAAGCCGGTGTGACACTACTGTCCAGTGGACAGGCTCATAGTACCATATATTGTAACGTGAAAATGACGATCCGGGAAAAGATGGTCGTGTTGGCTTTTGTTGGGATCTACGTATGTGATTACCCCCAGGTTACCCCGGTATCGACACATTGTTGACCACGAAGAAGGGCATATACCGTGGCCCAATCGACGAGTTCGCTGTGATATGTGGTCTGTGAAGATGCACCAAACTTGAGAGGCTGAGGCCGTGAGTATTAATCAATCTCGCTCAAACAAATGAGATACTTTCACCCGTAAATAGTGTGGACACCTCCAACATGGAGCGAATGCGAACTGAGGTTGGTCGGTGAGACTTCCTCGGCGTGACACGTTAATTAGACCACGTTGGACAATTGGACAAAGCAAGCACCCACAGCAGTCTCGAGGGAATCGTGGAAGTGTTATGGTTGCCTTTGTCAGTGCTGGGGAACGGTGGCAGGCAATGTTCGGGTGAACGTGTACTTCATGTGCGTCACAGATAGCACCCCCACTTAAGAACATACTTAAGTAGCAGTTAAGAAATTGAGACTCGAAAAAATCAGAAGCTAAGAACTTGAGCACCATTTGTGAGCCCGTTACGAACCCCTCCACTAAACCTATAGTCTAGACCATAGTTACGATTTGTAGCCCACAAGCGGATGATCATCAATAGACTATTAATATTGAGAACCCCAGCCTCAGCCGAAACTAGAGGTTTTGAAGTGCGGGCGCCATCTGTATCCTGTCACTCAGCGTGAAGCCAGCGGTACATGATATCAATTTAGTAACCGCTGAAACAGGCCAGTGTTTCGTTTTCTGGAGCCCTCTGCTGGCCGGACACAGGACACCACTTTCATCTGGATACACTGCATAAAGAAAAGGGCACAGAATCATTTTGGTCTCGAGATTCTCGGTGTTCGTTCGGATTTATTTTCCTTGTTCATGCTATGATGTACAATCTCCCTTCTTCCCCTCGCTCCTCGACAAGCTTTTGCTTAGACATGGGTTGCAGCGAAGGGGGGGGTCTTTCTGGCGAGCAGGGCTAGACTCACCCTCAAGGGATGACCGAAACCTTCTTGCTGCTGCGCATATGCCGCCAGGCGTGCGTGTGGTGGTGGAGTTGGGTCGGCACTGATGGGGTCAGGCGGGAAAATGTAGATGCGCGGGCCTTTCTGGCCGTCGGCGT